ATCATTCCTGTAGAGTGTCAACTCCTTGAGGGCAGGAAATCCTCCATTTTTTTCCCTTTGCATCCCAGCACCCAACACAGGGTGCTTAAGAAAAGTTTGCTGAATTGGACTGAATTGAAATGAGGTGGCATGTCTGTGCAGCAGTAGACATCTAAGTGTAGGGCTGAGAATATGGTGCCTGGGGTGGGAGGCAACATTGCAATCTTTTCCCACGAATTGATGCTACTCATGTGAATCCAGGGTCATCTCTCAATCCTTCCACCCACATGAAATTCATTGTTGGCTGCTAATTCCAATAAAATCAACTGCCCTAGCCTGATTCACAGCAATCCAAATTAGTTTAATACCTTGTAGCGGCATGTTCTTTTGGTACAATTTCTCACAAATGCTTTTTAAAATCTTGCCTTAAAATCCTAACCTTATGACTTGGAGATTTCAAGCTCAGACATGTCTTGCCAAGATGAAATGGATTTGAGTGGGCTCTCAGTTTGTTACGTGAGGAGTCCTCAAACACTCAAATAGATCTGTGGCCTCATTGTGACCCATCCATACCTCCCCATCCTATGTGACTCTTGTCCATATCCTCCCCAAAGTTTCCCCACAGTAGTCTGCTCACTGGGGTCTTCCTTGCTTTTTCCAGCACCACTAGGTTTCCAATAGAGCAGTCTGGCTGGCCACTTGTCATTCCTTGATCTCACCACGTGAGCAGCCTATGTTCTCTTTCTATCCAACGATTCTTTCATGATCTACTCTACTTCCATTCTTCTTCATTGTGGATCTATTATAGAACGCTCACTCTCAGCACATTCCAAATTGTCCACTATCCTCTGTGTGATGCTCATCTTTAGCTTTTGAGGAGCACTAACACCAGTAGAATGTTTGTACTGAAAAGATGTGTCTTTACTTTTGTGGGAAGCTTGGGGTCAATTAAAATGCTTTGTAATTTCCCCAAAAGCAATCCAGCCTGCTTTCTTTCTCTTGTATAACTCTGGAACCAGCTCATGGTCCACCTGTATTGTCTGTTCCAGACAGCATACCAATTGACAATCTCTACAGGGTATCCATTTAGATGCATGCTAAAATCTGAGCTACAGACATTTTTCATCCACGTGACCCTTGCTTTTTTTTTTCTGAGGACCACCCTATTCAAATATAGAGAGGGTTTTGCCACTAAAAGTTAGGCCCCCAGGCGATGATTGCTTTTTTAATCCCTAGTAGCTCATGAAACATTGAAAAATTCCAAGCTGCATTGATGGAAACTCATATCAATGAAATGAATTCCTCAAAGTAAACTATTACAAATAGTACCATTAAAGACCAAAAGGTCAACTAATAATTGAGCAAGGAAGAAACCTAAAGGATCTGCTGATTTAAATGCCTATTTACACTTTGATTGGTAAGGTGAATCCCTTGCTTGTTTTATTGGAATATGTTTTGAATTAATTAAAAGTAATTAGTGCCCATCAATAGATGAAAATGAGCTTGAAGTTAACATTTTGCAGGGTACTTCTCTGTCAACATTTTTAGACGTGATTTCTGCAGATTTCTGCAATCAAGTTAAGCCAAAAATCATTACTCTTCACAATAGAAACAAAAAGAGATTAGAGCTTCCTAATTGTTCTTCCCTGCTGAAGCCATTGGCCAGAATTTGGACTTTACACATAAAGCATGAATGTTCTCTGTTGCTGGTGCTGTTCAGTCATTTTCAGTCATGTCTGACTCTCTGTAAGTCCATTTGGGGTTTTCTTGGCAGAATTACTGGAGTGGTTTGCTATTTCCTTCTCTAGCTCATTTGACAAATAAGGAAACTGAGGCAAACAGAGTTAAGTGACTTGTCCAGGGTCACACAGCTACTGAGTATCTGAGGTTGGATTTGAACTCAGGTCTTCCTGACTCCATGCCCAACGCTTTATCCACTGTGCCACCTAACTACCCTACCTGAAACCTTTTGCTCTTTGTATTAGTAGTGATTAAAAGCTGGCAAAGGAGTGAACAAAAATTACCTCACAAATCCTCAGGATGGTAAATGGACTTGAGATTATATCAATGAAAGGCTCTGTTTATATTTAGCCAAGAGAAGATCACATTTGGAGGGGAAATGAGAGCTGTCTTCAAGGACTGTCATATGGAAGCAGAATCAGCTCTGTTCTTCTTAGCCACAGAGGGAGAGAATTAGAATCATAGGGGGCCAAACTAACTCACACGTGAGAAACATAATGGAACAGCACCCAAATACCACTGCATATACTTAAAGTAGCCTACCTCTTGGACCCCCAGTAGTCCAAGACTTTCATTCATGATGCCATGACCTGCTAAGTCTTTTCTACAACAGTATGGCTGGCCTAGGGAAACTCTAAGCCTCTCTGTTATAAGCTGCTGTAAATCCCTTCCTAAGGCCAAAACTGAAGAACTATGATGGCCTGCGATCACATCTTTGCTGCTATACTTATGGCCCATCCTGAGAAATTCCACTCTGACCTGGGCTGATGGCCACCCATGGGTGTAGAAGTATGTTTACTGTGCTTCCTGCCATCTACTTTGAGAAGCACTCTGCCTCTGTCTGTAAAACCTACCTTATTCCTGGATGGTTGGTTTTTATAGAATTCCTTTAATGTAAACCAAATAGCATATTTCCTTTGTAAAATCTGAGCTCAGCCCATAGGAAGGACAGAGGGTTAATAGATATACTTCTTTTCTTCAAAACATTTTTTCTTTTACATTCAGCTAGCCCTTTGGTAAAGTTTTTGAATACATGCCAGGAAACTCAAATCTCTACAGCTTGATTTGTTGACATGTTCAGAAAAAGAAAAAGCAAGAATATTTATGCTTCAACACACAACTACATTAATAATATTAAAATATATAAGCTAAGACTGACAGTTTGGGATGTTAAAGACTTAATTCAAATACTAAGATGGAACACCAACCTTTCTAGGTGTGAATGCTTATTAATCAATCACTTAAGTGCCAGTGAAGACTTTAACCTGAGGGGAAAGACACTCTAATGGATTTCATGATTAAATGAATCAGTAGCACTGTCTACATATCAAACATCTGGAGGAAAACCAAAAACTACAGTCAAATACTTGTAATTTCACAAAGTAGATCCATGACAAATTGTCTAACTATCTTGAGATAATTATCTCTGAAACTTACGAAATTTCCAGTACATATACAGCAAGTGCTTAATAAATGCTTTCTGACTGACACAAATTTCAGTGCTAAGACGACAATTTCTTTTGCAGCATTAACATTTCAGTTTCTATCAAGTTGGAAGGTGTGGGGTTTGAATAGACACAAATAACCTTGCCAAGTGAGGGTACAAATTGAGGAAAGGCCTCCAGGATAGGGAGCAAGGTACAAATGAAGCTCCTGCAATTCTGTTCCTGGTCTTTTTCTCCATTTAGCTCTCCCCTTCAGTTACTCCTCGTATTCAGACTGGAATTGGGAAAGTGGCCATTAGCATAACTGCCTAGATCTAAGTGGTCAGGAAGGTTTCTGCTCCTCTGATGGACTACCTTGATCAAATACATGTAACTCTTGTGTTCTTTGGAGTGTAATAATAGATCGGGCCCAGTTCAGACGAGGATGTAACTTCCAAATGATTTAAATTCAGTTCACCATTTATCAAGCCCCGACTGTGTATAAGGCATGAAATTGGGCTCTGGGAGTACACAAAGACAAAAACCAAAACAGATACTACCCTCACAATACCCCTGTGGGCTCAGTTAGCCAAGTCTACCTCAAAAGTAGACTATATAGGCAGTTATAAAAGTAGATACACCATATTTCACTAATACTGTTTTCATTTAATGTATATGGAGGCCATATTTATGGAACATGAGCATTTATGAAAGACAGTTAAAAATGGCAAAGGAATCAACTGGCCGAAATAGTTTTGAGGGGAGTTTTGTATCTAGAATCTTCCTGATTGGGCATATCTGTCTAGGTTTCTACTTAGCCTTATCTTGAGTACCTTCTACTGCTCATTTTGGAACAGTCATATAGAGAAGAGGAAAATTATTTTGGCTAAATAGTACAGCCAGGTTTGGAAAAATTAGCTTTAAATAGACATGATCAGTTAAAAGCCGAAGTTCTCCTCACAGTTGGATCAGAAAAAATGGTTATCAAAATTCCTACCCCCCCAAAAAAAATCCTATCAAGCATCTAAAATAAGACAGAACACTATGCAAAAGAAACTCCAGAATGTTTATGACTATAAATTCCAACAAACTAGATCAGCTGTTCTTAAAAAAATATATTCCAGGGATCATGGGGGGGCACCCTGAGGCCCTTTCAGAGGGTCCATGAGATTAGAGCTATTTTCATAATAATACCAAGATATTTTAATCTCGAATGCAGTAAAATATACTCCATATAAATAACAGTTCTTCTGGTAGGTCCTTGATAATTTTTAAGAATGTAAAGGGATTCTGAGACCAAAAGGTTTGAGAACTGTTGAACTAAACTGGAACCCAAGTGAAAGAGTCTTGCAGATCACTGTAGGATTCTATGCTGTTTTCTAAGTTTAGTACATCAAGAATATGCCAATTGCAGAAAGAAATTTATATACATATATGTGTGTTTACAAAAAGGTTATAGAGCTACCCCAAAGTTGGAGACTACATAAAAATACAATACAAATGTAACTTTTATCTCCAAATGTTAGTGGTTCTTCCCATATTTCAAAATATATGGGTGAGAGGAAGTTTCTAGCCTCATATTTCTTTGCAGAAACATATTTCATCAACTCTAGTTTCACGCATGTGAAAATCTTTATTCTATTTCAAATCAGTATTCTTTTTCAAAACCACACCTGGCTCCCCTCCCCAGTAACATTCCAGCACCTTCAACTGCCACTCTCCTTCACCCTAGATAGAATTCAAGGGCAAAGGGAAAAACAACCTTTATACAGAAGAAGTGACAATGAAACCTCCTTGATTTCCCACCTCCACCACCTCCAAACAGTAGCAAGGTGACTAACTGTGTCAAAGGCTTACCTTCTTTATTGGTATGCCTCCCTGACGGTCAGCGGCTGCATATCTATGGGAAAGAAAAAGCATTTCTTTAAGCTTAAGATAAATCAATTAACAGGCTAAAAAGTCAAAGCACAGATTAAGAAGAGCAAGAACATGCATGGTCAAATAGATGTGTGCAAACAACCCTGATGGCATTATCAATGAAATACCTTAGGATCACAAGCGAGGTCAATGGAAGAATGACTTAGCTTTGCATATGGCACCTGCTTGGAAAGATTACCCCCTTTTATTTGCAGTTTACACAACATAAGAAATAGAAACATAAACAAGGCCACCTTCACTCTGCTGAATCACCACTGGCCACATTTAATAAAACTTATTCCAATGTAGCGGCAAGCCACCCTTAAAATAGATTGTTTCATAGGTGTTTCATAGAAGTTTTATTAAATTGGCCTTATACAAGCTAGTGGAAATGGCTTCTAGTGATTTCCAAAGTGTCCAAATCAGTCTTCCTTAATATTTATTTGAACATTCTAGTCATTTGTAATTCAAAACAGAGTTCCACATTCAAGATGAAATATACACATGCTATCCTTAATACTTGGATCATTGAGCAACATATACAGTGTGTATCTATAGTTATCTGTACTTATATCTTTATCTGCCCATATATTTGTGTGGGGAGGGTTGTGTAGGGAGAGGGCATAGGGACTGAGCCAATGATTTCACTGATGTGGGAAACTCCATGGTGAGGGACTTCCTCTATAAAAGCAGGATCGCATCTTTTTTGGAACTTAGAGTCTTTGAGAGTTTCCTAGAGTGCTGAGGAGTTAAGTGATTTAACTGGCTGAGCTTATACAGCCAGTAAGTGTGAGAGGTACTCTGTCTTCCTGGCTGGCTCTCTAGTCACTACACAGTACTGAGTCTCAGTATGTACATACACACACACACACACACACACATACATACATACACACATACACACATACATACATACATACATACACACATACACACATACACACATACATACATACATATACATGTGTAACATGCCAAATTTGGTTGTGATATCTGTGTGTATGAGGATTTTTGCAAAATGTTTACTTGTAAACAGTGAACTAGGCTACTTTAATTGTATGTAAAAAGTGACTTAGTGCCAAAATTCTTGGTAAAATAATCCATGGGGACAGTATTATTTCCTATTGCATTGGAATTCTTAGTTTCTGAGTTGGATACATAGGAAGAAAAGCAATTTAAAAACAAATGACAATCAAAGAAACACATTTTATTTCTACTTTTGCCTCCCCTACTCTACAATCAATTGGCCAGACTATGTGGCTGGTCACTGGATGATTAATCAGTTCTGAATCACCTTTTGTGCCTAATCTGTTGCTCAGGGCTAAGGTGTCAATATGGCAGAAAGAAAATGAGTTCACTAATGATTCAATACTCTGAAAATGACACTCCATGGGAAAATAACCAAGAAAACAAAAAAAAGGTCAATTGAATCAGTACATCTTGCAAAAAAATCATGTCAGGGAGGGGTGGGTCCTCAATAATTTGTGCAAATTACAACACGATTAAGCTTTGACCAAGGAGACTGCAACAATTAAACATCCTCTATGGAATAATGTAAAATCCACTTGCAACATCACTGGGCTATATTCCAATGGCTATAAGTGCCTGATGGTGGTTCATGTGAACCACCTTTTACACTCATCTGCATTAGTTAAAGGGTGGTATTTATAAAGCATTTGCAGGATTCTCAGTAGATTAAAGCAGAAAATACAGCCTCAGGTGCAAGGAAACTGAATCGTGATGTGGTTACAAACATAAGTTGGTGTGACATATCTGCAAGTGCTAGTCTGTGAAAAATCACAGAGCTAAAGAGAAAATCAAAACATTTTCCTACTCTATATCATCAAGTAATCTAGAGCTACAGGGCTTTTTTTTGTATTCCCATGGACCATCCAGAAATTTGCGTCCTTTTCTGGATTCAGGGAGATCTAGAAGAATGTGCAAATGCCAATGGTGCTGGCCTGGCTATAGGGAAGAATCAGCAAGTCATCCCTGGAACCTCTGCCCTAGAAACTTGAATTTTACCCTAGGAGTTGATCTCCAGAAAGTCAAGAGGTCACTATTTTGGAAATTAGCCACATATTTAAAACTGTACGACAGATGAAGAATTAAGATATGGAAGACAGTGATCATGGGTTTTCATTACAATAGAGAAAAGAATGAAGTATAATAGACTTGATTGAAAGTCAGACTTGCAGAATTAATTGAATCTGAGGATCAATAAAAAAAGGTAATAGAAGGAGATTCTAGAACACTACTCCCTGGAAATCATGGGTTCAAAGATCTAGAGCTGAAAGGGAGGCTATTTATTCCTCATTTTACAGTTGAGGAAACCAAAGCCAAGGAGGTAAAGTGCCTTAGCCAAGGTCAGACACTGCATCAGAGGTGGTGTTTGAACCTAGGTTCTCTAACTCTGGAGCCTCTACTCTTTACACTGTACTGGGCTGCTCTTTAGGAATATACAGCTTAAAGTATATAGGTTACCTTTAAGGTACAGTTTTAATTGGAGGCAATGACTTAAGACTATTTATAGTCTTCAGGGACCCCTTCTAATCCTATAATTCTCTGACTGAGATTTCAAAGAACTCTCAATGATGCTTGATCCAAACAATTCTTGGATGGGGACCACAGTAGCTTTGGGCTTACTCAGTAGGAAAGGCTTAAGCAAGTATAGTTGAATGCAGATCAGAGGCTTCAAACTCTGGCCCCACTGCCAAGTGGCCTGTGAAACTATTAAAGTGTAACTGAGAAATGTTTCACAAAATAAATGATAATATAATATAACACAGATAATGTTAATATGTGATCTTCTAAGTCAATGTGCACCTTGCAGGGATCTTGTTTCTGTTTGAGTTTGACACCAGTGGTGTAGCCTACCTAGGAACATCTTTAGAGGTGACAGCAGTGGTTTGGTGGAAGGTAAGAGTGCTATTGGTTAGAGACATTCTGTGTCATTAAGGGGACAAGCAGATGTTTCCCTAGAGCTCTGGAAACAACTTAAGTAAAGAGTAGGTCTCAGGACTGCCATGGTTCTGACCTCCAGAAAGACTAGTACTATCCTAAGATATCAGTGAAGTATGGGGTTTTCCAAAGGCTAGCCTAGGACTTCTGGGTGCCTGGGTAACCAACAGCTATGTGGACATACAGTGAAACTAACCTAGAGGTTGTCTAATTCCTACAGGTGACAGACTTTCAGGTTTCCTTTTGCACAATTACAAAATGAGGTGACTGTAATAATACCTGTGCCTGTACTATAAATATATGTGGCGTGGCTTAATAAACTGAATCTGAGCTGTCAAAATCAATATCAAATTATATGAAAGAATAAAAATGAGAAGGGCAGGATGCACAATTAAAGAGCCTCAACCTGATTTATTGGAATAGCTTACTTGGATATGGACAAATGTACAAGCATTAAGACAGACCGTTAACAGATTCTAAACAGGTTTAAGCAATGGAAATCAATGGCCATGGCTAAGAGGCCAAAAGAGCCTTGAAACCACTTTAGCTGGCAAACACAGTCTCCTTGACAAGCAGAATGAATATAGGCAACACTAGTTTAGAATATAAACTCATTTGTAAAATCTTATAGAGAATGATGGGGAAGATTATGAATAGTATCCATCCTAAAACAGTGGAGTTTCAATTTACCAAAAGCTTAGTGAAAGAGCTAATTAAGTCAGATCATAATAAGTCAACAAACATTTATTAAACTTTTAGTATTGTACTAATCACTTAGAATACACACAATCTCTGCTCTCAAGGAGTTCATATTTTAATGGGGGAGGCAACATCTAAAATATCTTTGCATATACAAGATAAATACATTGTAAATGGGAGATGACCTTAGAGGGAATGTGCTAGCAGTGGGGAGCACTGGGAAAGACCTCCTACAGAAGGTGGGATATGGCAGCTGGATGCTCAACCAGGAGAGCTCATCCATCAATACAAATCACTTGGCAAAACACTGAATATGGACAATGAACTAGGCCTAAAATTGAATAGGAGGAAGAAGGTGCCATCAAGTCCAAAAATAGAGAAATACTCAGTGTTGACCTAGGATTCTTACCAAGAGGTTTGATCAGGGCTGTTTTTACCCTCAACATTGTCCCCACTGAAATATTTACTTAAGTGTGAAAGCTGAACTTAAAATGCTGTTCTAGAATCTTCTCTTTTTTTAGAGTTATTAGGGTGGGGTCATTGATTTACTCAACTCCAGCCTATTTAAAGCAAGAAGAGGCCCAAGCAATCAGTCTCATGGGCCTTAGATCAGGGGTTCATAACCATTTTGCATCATAGACTCGTCTGCCAGTCTGATGAAGCCTATAGACCCCTTCTCAGAATCATACTTTTAAATAATTGAAAAAAAGCTAAATTTCAGTTAAATTTCAATTAGAGATTGATGAAAATAAAATGTAATTTTTTCCCATCCAAGATCATAGACCCCCTGAAATCTGTTCATGGACTCCAAACTAAGGATGTATGCTTTTTAGGCCAAGTGTGGGAAAGTCCTTTGAAGTACAGTAATGTTGTGAAAGAACCATGTTGAGATAAGATGAAGACGGAGGCTGTGCCATGCCACAGAGGCTGTCTATGAGAGATCAGGCTAGAGGCCAAAGTCCTTTGAGAGGCTGGCTGCCTAGCACACCCCTGAGAAGCAAAGGCAGGACTGAACTGTGTCAGAAAGAGACATTGAGAGGGATAACAGGGTTTACAGAAATCTCAGCACACCCAATTTCCCCTGCCGTTGCCTATATGCAAATTCTATAACATAATCTTACTGTTCTATAGCCCCAAAATTTCCAGTAAACTGAATTTTCCTTTCACCACCAAGAGGCCAGGGGTTAACCAGAGATCAATATAAATGTAAAGTTAGTCAGAGAAGCCAACCTGTGTGACTTGGATTTTGACAATCATCCTCTCTTGTGAGACAGATTGGGGATGTTAAATGAATTAACTGACTCACAGAGATGCTGCAAGCTC